ATGTATTGAAAATGCCTCTAATGACATAATTTGGGCATCTTAACAAAAATGTGTTTTCTTAAGAAATGACCATGATAACTTATTTTTCCATAATAATGACTCCAAACTATCTTCCTTTCTCCTTCTCTCATTCGTACTATCAAATATGTGAATTATTCCAGTCTTAATATAATAAAACAACACACGGCACGGATATAGCTAAAACAAAAAGCGTGTTATAGGAACATCTACTATGGATAGTACACTATTGTATTTACCTAGATATGTATGTCTAATGCACTACTGACTGTTACTCGAAATCTCTAAAAACAAAATTGTCAATATTGATAGTTTCACATAACAATATATATATATAATCTCATTTGATGCAACATAGGGTCATTTATAATACCATTATGTCACAAGGTTGTCTATTGATTCTTCATATTGTATGGATAATGCCATATAATCTAATGGAAAGAATAGATCTAAAACACAATATTCCATAGATGGAAACGCGTAAAACAAAAGCATATGTTGTTACAATCTGGAATCAAGACTAGAAGTAGTTCCATTCAAATATGTCGTTACTGTGCTCGAGACTTCGGTACACAAACAAATTGCGTGTTTTATATTACAACATTACTTCCGTGGCTTTGACCTTTTTCAGTCCACATATTTGGAATCCCCACTGTATTGTTTAGCTCTATTTACTATGGTTGATCGGTTCACTACTAAATGAGTTCAGAGGTCAGCTAAAGAGTATAAACGCAAAAGCGTTAAGCAGCACATCAGCACGATTCAGGCTATATGTTCAATTAAAGGTATAGTTTTAAATATATATGAGAAACTACAAAAACATTAAGGATATAAATAAATAAATATTAATCCTTCCAAATAACTTAAAGACTTTAAAAACGTTATAAATGTGTCAAAAACTGGGAAAAGAACTTGTCTCAATATTGAATCAGTCATATATTTCAATTTAGAGGCTGAATATTTTAGTTAAAATATATATCTTCATTACTGAAAATAAAATATGCAATTATCTAAAGATGTATTTCTTTTTAAGAAAACGTAGGGCAATACACTTGTGAGTTTGAAAGAAAAGATGCAAAATCATATACAAAATGAAAATCATATCAGTCAAAAACCTGCAAGAATGATATTTGTTTAAGGTTCCGGTACCCTTAACACCATGAAATATTATCTATATCAATGATGGTTGGTTGCTTTGTAAAGGTAACTTCGAAACATTTTTGGCAGAAACATGACGCAGAAATGGTGACTAAGAACCTCCTAATGACGCCCAGTGGCACCGACCCATGTTATCATAGGCGGGTAGGGGACCTTGCCTTGTGAACCTGACGCACTACCTACTGAACTACGGCGGATCCTCTATCCATAATGTAGGCTATCAAGGATGCTTATACATTATAGTAAAGCATAACTCTCCAGGAACGGTGCAGCACGAAGCTTGTACATGAATTATATCGTCAACGATGATCGGTAAATAAAAATGAGCAGTTTAATTGGATCTGCCGATTTTAAGAATACATTCGTTTGGGAAGACAATCTTGTAATCAGGAAAAGTCGAACAAACTAGAATATAGTACCGCAATTAATTGAATTAATCACGTGCTTGGAAAGTTTTGATAATAGCCAGTTTTTTTTACCATCTTTCTTTCTGCATGCGATTTAAAAAAGACAAGAAAGCAAATAAAATAAATCAATATGAATTGTGTCAGTTGTCATGCCATATTGATTCATTGACTTATAACTAATACAGACATCTTATGTGCAGAGTAAAATGGGGCTTAGACCAACTGGTATGTTTGAAGATTGGTGGAAGACGAACAAATCTGTCAGAATCTGAAGGGAAAGCCACTTTCTGTCGACATAGAGCGTAATATACAATATGCCAAAATATTTGGCAGACGTTTCTCCTTCACGATGAAAACACGGTCAACATTGGGTAATTACTCCCTTTGACACAGTAATTTTGGCATTCTTTTTTTCTTTGAAAAATGATCTCCCTGGAGGCCATGGAAAATTATACTATCAATTACATGAAATCAATTTGGCACAGAGGAGATAATGGACTGGCCTTCAGAACTGGCAAAAATCTCAAGAATCAGTCGTCTGTACAGCTAGTACGTGCATACCAGAGAACTTATTTGGTAAGGCTTCCATCCATTTTAAACATTTTTCTATTGTCTGTCTTCTCTCAATGTCATCATAGTTCAAGTATTGAGAGGACGAGGGCTCTGAAGAGGAGCCAGTAGAGTTTGTCTGCAAAGTCTCGTCTGATAATCTCCCACTTTGTGTTATATCCGATTTCCTCTCAGAATGATTGAATTTTGAATATCCATTTTTCTTATGCATTTGCTCTTCTTGATTTAAAGACACTTTTCTCCAATTCTTTAATTGTTCCCCTCTTCTTATCCAAGTAGTCTGTCTCCTTACATGCTCCCTGAATGGGGCTACAGGCATCGTAACCTGTTTGCCACCGATTTTCAGTGTAGACATTGCTGTTTTTAATATCTTGTCACCCAGATACTGTAACGAATAACACTAATTTCTTCTGTCATCGATCTATTATCACCCTTCTATTCAACAGCGTGCTCTAGCTAAGACTGAGTCTTTACTGGGACAGGTAGTTATTATAAATCATCTATTCATGCCTCCAATCGATGAATGGCCCAATCATCCAATCAAGAAGTATTTACAACGAGCCAGTAGTTCGATGTTGACAGGTTTTATTGGTGTATTGTAAGATTACAATGAACACGCACACCTCCGGAATTTTGGAATAGATTTATATAAATCTTCAAGTGACCGAACTTCAATTATTTTTGTTAAGGATAGATTCGACATTAGTTTTAAAAAATCACGTCCTCGTGATCGAGTTTTCTGATTCGCCAACAAGTGTGTACGCTAGTTTTAAAGCAATACTATTTTAGAGTACGTAAAATGTTTTAAAATTACTTTCTATATAGCCCGTGTTCCCTTTTTTGATATTATATTCGTAAAATATTATACAATATTACCATTATTCCACGATATTTTTAATTACACTACTTACTGAACGTTTTGCATAATAAATATTCAATATACAAACAAATTTGCTGTTGCGAAATATTATATATTAAAGTGCTAAAACAATTTAAAGCTCGATTATTAAATTTTCACAATATTTTTTTTAAAAAAAGCTTGCCACGTTTACAGACATAATAAAATAAATATATTGAAAAGAAATTACATACTTCACATATTTTGGAAGTTGAGACAACGCGGATAACAACCCATCCTTCAACAAACAACAACCCTCACCCCCCAACAAAACAATCAACAAACAAAGACCAATAATGACTATGCAAGTGTTTTCCTGTGTTATTATGCATTGTTTATCCTTATCATGCATAGACTGATACAAAACACTGCCACTACATAAATCACCCTAATAGTAATTGTACTGTCAGAAAGTTTGATGGTTTTCCGTTTTGTGTACTATCTTGCTTCTTCGTGAAAGATATTGACAACTTCCCAAGCTATTCGGAAGTATTCGTACATTTGTTTGTTCATTTGTTGCTTTGGATACAAACTTGTTTTCTACTGCAGTATTCCAATTACAGGATTGCAAAAGCTACAACTGGGGCCCCGAGTGGCCGAGTAGTCTAAAGTGCTGACCGTTACGGATCACTGCCATCTCACCTCTGTCTGCTTGAGTTCGAGTCCAGACTCGGCTAACGTGGTTAAGGGAGAAAGCCTGCCAGTAGCTTCTCGTGGGTCGGTGGTTCTTCCTTGAGTTTTCCAGGGTTCTTCCTCCACCATTAATACTGGCCGCCATGTATAGCCTATCTTGTGCTGAAAAATGGCGTTAAACCCTACAACTACTACTTCAAAAGCTACAACTAAGCCTCAAGTGATATAGTTTACTGACAAACTTGAAACATATTTTATTGATTCATATATAATCTCTGAATAATGTTTGTACACTCAAAGAATGTTTCCAATAGACATACATCATTGAGTAGGATTTCGTATTTATTTTCTTACTGTCACACCTTGTGGAAGTTTCATCTTTACGTGTTAAAACTTGGTAAAATATATCATTTACGGAGTTCAGATGGCAAATATATCTCTAGTTTACAAATGTATTGACATTTGTCTTCTCTTTTCCCTTTTGAAAATAATAAATGGGACTGTTGTATCGTCTTATAGCTTTAGAAACAGGAGTAATCCTAATGTATTTCACAAGTAGATCGTGCAACAGGTTAACTAAAACATATATAATGGTGCAAAATTCTGTAGCTATTTTGGCAGTACATTCTGTTTCGGTCAGTATAATACTTAAACATTAGCATTGATGTATGGGCTTCCGATAGTTAACCTCATTTGTTTGGAGGAATGATTCATTTCTGACTATGACCCGCTAGGATAAGGGTCCGACAGATGTTAAAGTATGGTCAAGTGAGGAAATGACAAAGTGGAGACACATCAGAGACAAAATTTGGGAAATCTTGGACCATTATAAATAAGCTAATAAAATTATATTTTCCAGAATAGTTATTAATAAAGGCGGTCTATAGAGAATTATTCTGACTTCGATGAGATTTAAAATTTTGGCGGTTAGAAAAAGTTAATCCTGATTGGCTAAGCTACACAAGGGATTGTATTTCCCAGAAGAAATTCAAGGTGTCCAAATTTATTTTATATTTTGTGTTGAAGCGGAAGCTGGCTCCGAGATTAGTAGAAGTACTTTTCTCGTTAAAATTGTCCAAGAGTGATTCGGGTTCATAGAAAAGGGAGCTAGTCTCAGAAGCACAAGTTACAAATTTATCCATACATGTACTACAGATTGTGGAAAAGTGCGGACTACACAAACCTAGAGAGAGAGAGAGAGAGAGAGAGAGAGAGAGAGAGAGAGAGAGAGAGAGAGAGAGAGAGAGAGAGAGAGAGAGAGAGAGAGAGAGAGAGAGAGAGAGAGAGAGAGAGAGAGAGAGAGAGAGAGAGAGAGAGAATTGTGTTCATAGTGGTTAGAACATCCGCCTCGTATGCGGAAGATCATGGGTTTGATTACCGGTTGAGTCATGCTGAATTTTGTTTTAAAGCTACGTTAAAATTTATATTCATGTCAACACATCGGTATAGCAGAACGACAAATTGCATCTAGCATAACGTTTGTAATTTACTTTTTCTTTGATTTATATGTAGTTAATTATATTATTTTGCACGTTTTTCACTACCAATGTTTTATTTTTAGTGAGGTGGAGGAGGCAGAAATGAGCATATGACAAAATATGTGGGAAATATCACTTTTTTCTGCAAAAGTTTCATTTTAAGAGCATTAAAACTCAACCAGGCGATCATTTGATGATGTGGCACAGTTTGATATTGTTTACAAAAGATCGGAGCAAGTAAACCACGTTCTAGCCCAAAATGATATGGAATGAATTGTTTTAAAGTATCTCTTTAAATGATTATTATTGATCTTATTTACGTCCGATTGCAATTATAACACTAAGAAATGCACATAGCTCATATTTTCTCGGCAAAAATACGTCCTAGTCAACAATGCGTCCAAACAGCAACCAACCAACCATTATCAGAAAAGGAAGCCATGTTATGTTTTATTCGCTTTAGTATCACTTGATGTTTTAAGTTACTGCTTGAGTAATACAGATTTATTTATTCGCGAAACAATGTAAGTAACATCAGCTTTACTTCATATCGCAGTATTTATAAAGTGTGGATTATGTAGTTAATTATTTAAAAAAAGAATCCATTTGTATATCGCTAATCGAAATTACTTAATATGCAACTTACAAAGTTAGTTAAAAATGATTGCATTGCCAATGGATGATTGACAAAAGTGTTACCTTATCATAGTTTAGGTTGTACTAACATGGAACGGTTGCGGGAAGATGACGGTAGTCATCTGGAATAAAATGTCAGTTTGCAAATGAAAAATGCTTGGAACATATTTTTAATTATCCCACTTAAACATTACATATAGATATATAAACTGCCTTTTGTACTTGGTTTCATCCCAGTGGTTTAGAAGTAAGCAGATACACAATGACAGACAGAAAAATATCAGAAAATTCCATGCGCATTTTCAAAATACTCGAGGGAATAGACAGGTTGGTTTGTTTTGATCTTCTATGTCATATCAACTCTTGGAATATGTTTGTTTGTTGTGTGTTGGATCTTTAATGCAGCTTTAACTACAGTGTGACAGTTTATAGTGACGTCTAACACTGGGAAATCATCGCAGACATGTAGCATAAGTCTCACCCAGACACATTATCCTGACACCAGGCCTACCAGTCCGATTATTAACCATTTAATGCAGATAGCCAAACAAAGGTTGCTGTAAGTACCATTTTGTGTCTTTGGCATGACTCGGCAGGGGTTTGAACCCACGACCTCCCGCAGAAGCTCTAACCACTGGAGTGGTCGTCTGTTAATGTTGTATTGCGCTGAGTTCAATAGAGTAAAGTGCTTTACACGTCTGCAGTTGCAATTGTTTGGTATAATTTTGATCGGTTGATTGATCACATTTAACGCCACCAATTACCAAGAAAAGTCAATTCTTCAGCCTAATTGTGCTAGCGTTCAATAATAGTAGTTCTTCTAAACTGATTGGAGTTTCCAACGTCACTGTTAGTATTAAATATTCCAAAATAGGCTTATATACCGGATCTTTCAATGTTAAGTTGTACGACGAAATTAATTTGCATATCAGATACATTTCAACTTGCAGAACAAATATTTCTTTGTAAATTAAGAGGAGTGTAAGCTTCAATGCATAATACAGTATATACGTTAGAGAAAAGTATGTAATGGATTTTGAACCAGGTTTTATAATTGCCTTAAAAATTCAGTGTTGAAGGACTCTACAGCATTAGTGCAATTATTAAATTTGCATAAACAGAAATTGTATCGTCCACTGCTAAATAAAACGTGCACCAGATGACTTTAAAACTACAGAGTAGACAAAAAATAGACGCAGATAAACTAAAGATTGAGAACATCTGACTAATGTTAGCGATTGTAGATTTAACTATCAGGGATGGGGTAGTCTGATTGTTTGAGGCCACTAATTTGGGGGCTGGCTGAAAATAAATTTGTACTCGTTCGGGTGGAGAAAAACTATTAGTTTCGGGAACTGAATACAATCTTAATATTTTTGAGTGGGGGTGGGCATCCTTGTTAGCTCAGTATGTATTAGGACCACCCGAATTAAAATATTCATAAAGACAGAGATTTAATATACACAATAAAATTATTACCCTAAGGATTAATGTGATCACAAGTAATATTGACCTATACTAAGCAGTGAAGCTAACGTGCGGCGTTACAGCCTGGTATCACGAATGTCATGTTGTAACCAACCACAAATCTTGTCACACCAATGAAATGATGTAACCAGCCACAAATCTTATAACACATGAGTAGTACTGTTTCTCTGAGTCCACGAAAAAGTTCAGTAGTATGATGTCTTAATAGTTCCTTTGCATATACTTAATAAATATGTACTGTCATCGGAGTAAATGAAGTTTAAATGTATTTTCTAAGTTGGTATTTTTTTTTTACTGGCGCTGAGGTTGGGGGTGGGAATTATAAGGAAGCGGTTGTTGAACAATATTGTTGGTGCTATTTTAGGGGATTTTTGCTCTTTTTGGCATTTGTTTGGCTAGCAAAGTTTTGTCCTCTTGCAAGATAAGAAATTATAACATTGAATATATATATATATATATATATATATATATATATATATATATATATATATATATATATATATATATATATATATATATATATATACATATACATATATATATATATATATATATATATATATATATATATATATATATATATATATATATATATATATATATATATATATAATTCATTGAAATTACAAATTCATCATTGATTTTCGGAGCAAAAACGCCACGTTGGCTGTTTAGAGAAATCATTCAATGACATTCTGGATTACAACATTTTGGCACATCAGCACATGAAAGGCTATTTAAATTTATTTTGAACATTGGGTGAGTGATTGGAATTAATTCAAAATAAATCCTGCACATGTCTCTTAAATTTTCATTTTGTTACGTAGAGAATACAATGTTGATGTAACTAATTTTGTCTTACTGTTACATAGTTTAATAGATAGTGTTATATATATATATATCTATCTATATATCTATATATCTATATATATATATATATATATATATATATATATATATATATATATATATATATATATATATATATATATATAAACACACATACACACGCATAAGGCGCTAAAAACGCAAATTTATTGATCACTTGTATTGAAATTACCAATAGATTGGTTGCACATAATTTGTTCCGAATTATAACCTTGTTAAGAATGTATGTTCAAACATTTATGACACAATACAGGTCTAAATTTGGACAAGCGCTGTCATCGAAAAAGTTGACGAGTGAATTCAGGGCCACGATTGCCGCATGTGGCGTTTAGAGCTGAAACAAGTTACATAATTTAATTATTTTGAGGATTGGTAAACCTTTATTGCAAAGACTGATTGAAGGAAAATTGTCTAGGAGTATGTAAAAAAAAAACTAGTAAAGCCTGATTTTGAATCTATGATGCCTTACCGAATACCGAACATATATAAATGTTCTAATTAGAATGTCTTTTAAAGTGGATGTTCTGTATGAAGAACATTAACGACGTAGTACACACGTTCTTCTTGTTACACAGTGAACAGCGTTTATTCCGCATACTACAACATGACGATTATGTCAAAATTACCGTTTGTTTCCTGAAATTACAACTACCATATAGATTCATAACATTATATGGTCAGAAACATACGACATGACAACATATAATCCCTGCAAAGCAGATCCCATACCCAAACATGTTCGAAATATAAAACAAGAGATATAAATTTCCGCAAACTACGCACTAGTGGCTTTTATATGTTGTATGATATTGAATGAGTGACTATCACTTCACGGCATTTTATTCAAAATGAAAGACAATAGATATAAATACCTTTCGGTAAACTAACTACCAATGAGATTTAATTTTGTGTATTACTTGAATGCTAAAGTAGACTCAATCAGTTTTTAATTGATGCATATTTTTATTTAAAAGTTTACACCTGTATGGTTCTTAAAATATGGTATTTTTTGCATCGTTCCAGCTTTAGTGATCAAGAATGTTTCACCTACGCAAGGGTGATTTTAAAATATGGTTATCTATTTCATATTTGATAATATGCATTAAAAGTGTATTAAAAGTGTATCATCGTTTATATTTCTATTCTAAAAAAGGTTAGTTTTTTCAGTCTGTCTTAATTTGGATGGAACGATCAATTTTAATTTCACTTTTCGCGAAGGTTTCATGGAGCTTACAAATTTGCAGACAAGTGGGAGAATTGCACTCGTAGCAGCACTTTGCGACTATCGACTCTTGCGTTCACTCACTGTTTTATTTACCTCCCTTCTTTTCCGCTCTTTGCCTTACACGTACATTGGCTAGATGCATTTTATTATAATATGAGTTATTACATGCAATCCTGCACTTGATGCATGTGCACTAATTTCTCCATTTTTGTAGACCTATTGAGAAGGTGAATGGAATTTTATTCCATCGAGTGTTGACTTACTTCCACAGGATTCCATCTATTATGAACTCCATCTGTAACATAATCGAACATAACGACATTTCAAAGTCCAACCTTTTTGAATATATTAGAATACATTGGCTATAACGGTATTGGATTATAAGGATTTTACATCGTTATTAGAGGAAATATTATACTGGATTTTCGAATAATCCACCTTTATTCTAATCCATTTAATTTTTATGCATTATAATATATCGTATTGGCTTCTCTTTCCATGTTTACTTCCCTTAGTTTTAATTCTTCTTGATCCCGATTTTATCTTCAGGCTATAAAAGCAATTAATAAAAAGAAAGTAATTAATTAGGTGTTATATCTTTTGGGGAGTTCCATGGATATGTCATGCATACCTCCATTATATTAATATTTCTAATTCTGTGCAAGAAATTGAAA